TGACTACAGTTGAGTGTGGAGACTTAGGAATTCATGTAGTCCACTCAAAATATACAGATGACCTCAAGAAAAGTAACAGAACTATTGCATAACTCACTACCCTTTTATGGGAAAAAAAAAAAAGACGGAGTAGAGGGGCTGTAAAATGTTGAGGTTTTGAGTTAAAATACAATGTTCACAATGATATGCAGCTGCTGCACACTCTGGCAGTAAAGGCAGTATTGCTCCTTATTAACACTGCTGGGAATGCTGGTTGTTGGAGTTTCTTATTAATTTTGCAATGTTGATAATAGGTTTGGTGACGATTTTTATTATTAGACCATCCATGAATGTATAATAAATGAATTTTTTGAAGACTACAGATTATTCTTCATCTGCTTTAGTCTAGCAGGAGAAGAATTTTTGTTTGAAAACCAAGCAGAGTCAAGGTGGTATCCTTATCACAGGTATTGCTAAAACTTCATTCCCTTTTAAGAGAGAAATTTGTGTATCCATGCATTTGCAGATGAGCAAGATGGTAGCCCCTTCATATAATAAACCTTTGGCATTCCCTGTTTTCCTCTATTCATGGAGCTGCATTGATGTCATCGTGTATGGTGGATGGCTGGTGTTAAAAGTGGGGTTATCTGTGAGTATTAAATGCCTCATTCTTTGGATTAGCTGGGATACATGGTATGGCAACTAAATATAGTATGGGACTATATATAGAATATTGCTAACTATAGTATAGGAGCCCACACCACATAGTACCACTATATATAAATGCTTCCTATCATTGCAGCTGCAGGTTTTCCCGCTGTTACATACTTGTCTGATGCATACAGCCCAAAATATACTGGTCTGCACACAGCTCCAGCACCAATGAGCTCATGTGAGAACCATGCCCATGGCCAGCCAGCATTTGCAGCCTGCCTGCTAATGAGGGAGGCACTGCAGCCCCAGACACATGCTCAACACCTATTCCACAAACATCCACCCTGACCTCTCCTTCCCTTCTAGTTAGGCAGCCCTCATTCCCTGCAGCATCAGCTCTGCTCTGTCTGGATGATGTTTGAGGTATAATTTCCTTGTGTGAGGAGGTTATTTTAATTAAACAATTACAGTTGTAGTAAATGAATGAGGGGGGTTAAAGAAAAGTAAAAGGTGTGTCTTCAAGGAGGAAAAAAATAAAATCAATGAAAATGTTAGAAATTTTAGTGGCTGTAGAGGTATGTCATTAAATGGATGTTTCAAGAGTGCCAGAAGTGATATAGAAAAAAAGCAAAACCAGAAGTAATGAGTATTTCAGCTCTGGATGTAGTAAGGGGTAAAAAATGGGGTGCTCATTAGAGGGCAAAATCATCTCTAGTCCATAAATAATCAAAAGCTCTATTCAATATCATCTACTTAAACAAGGGCAGCAGGCCTAGGTAAGTCAGAGTAGCTGGATCTGGTGTTCATTTTCATTAAACCCTCCTCAATGGCTGACATAACAGTAAATAAAGCTAGTCAGCAATTACTAAGAGGTCTAGGTGGTGCTATAGATGGAATATTTCCATTCACTTAACTTTAAATTTCAATGGAAGTTTTACTGAAATTTTGCAATTGCAATAAAATTCTGGCAGAGCCTGGTCTCTTTTCCATTAACCTGCCTGGTGAAGTGCTGTGGGCTCCAGGGGGGCTTACAGTTCTTAGCCTCCACCTCTCCTGGCAGTGGGCAAGGGCCAGCCCACTCACACCCAGCATGGGCAGTGCTTTGGCTGAGTGTCCAGGGTGAGCTCAGAATCACAGAGTTTCTTTCTGTGGAGCTCAGCCTTGGTGCTGTAGTGGCCAGACTGTCAATAGTTCCATGGCATATTGTGTTGCCTAATACCATCCTGGGGTGAAAAAAAAAAAAAAAACCCACAACACAACATGGTTTTAGTTAATTATATCATCACTTCCTGAAAACACTTAAAATCTTGTGCTGAATCTGGGTGATAAAAACTGTTTTCTTAAGACTGTGAGCTATATGGAGCTGAAAGGGATCTCAGGTAGCCTCCTCTTCCACACCTGGATCAGATGGTGTTAGGTTAGTGTTTGAGGCCAACAACATTGCTCCAGCTGTTCATTTCCAAGATTTAATTAAGTCAAAGAAAAAAATTGGATATGCCAACTGGCTCACAAGCATTACAGTGTGTAAAAGATGCTGCTTCCAGATATGCAGGACACATTGTGGATACCTCAGTACCCTCTGGACAAAGAGGTGGTGGGGGCATTCACAGTGCTGCAGAGCTGCTGCCTTCATTGGCATTAACACTAACAGGAGTTATGTCCTGTAGAGCCTAATCCCCTTGCCCACCAGGTGAATGAAGTTCTAAACCCAATGCCTCCCATAATGATAACTTTGGAAATCAAGATGTCCTAATTTTGCTGCATAAAATGGGCAGGCGACCTTATGCTGTTACTAACAGTGAAACAGAAGGTGTTTATCTCCCAGCAGAAGCAAAACTAAACATAAAAGGACTCTTGCCTGGCTGCAGCTCTCCAGGACACTTTGAAGTGGATGTTTCAAAGCTCCACACACTTGAATGGAAAGTGTCCACAGCATTCATTCAGCTTTACATGTAGCACGCACCTCTTCTGGCTCATTTATTTTGAGGCTTGGGAAAGTTATCCTGTACTCAGTACCAGATTGTCTACACATCATTTATTACCTGTTTATTCCCAAAAGCAGGGTCTGTACCTCCTCTCAGGGGGAAGGTTGCAGACGGCAGGAGGCGATGACTGCGTACCATCAGCATCATCCTCATTTTCACTCTCTGACCTAGGTGGAACTTCTGTCTTTTCTACAACAGACTGCCCCAATCTTGCCACCCTTTTCTTCCAAGATGGCTGAGCTTGGCTTTTTCATTAGTAGCTCAAGCAATTGAGCTAGTTTCCAGACTGCCACAGTCAGACTAACCCAACAAACTCCACACGCAGGAGTTAATACAAGTGCTCATATTAGGATTGACACTTCTCCTTCGAATCCCCACATTTAACTGAGTCTATCCTAAGCAAAGTTGCAGGGCTTGGCACAAAAACATTCCCGAAGTTCCCCAGGAAGAAGCAGCTGCTGAGGCAGGCACCTTTTCATATACCTCCCCTTATTTACTATTTCTTATGGGTCACTTAATGGTATTTCCTTGGCTTGTAACACCTCCTCACCATTCAGAGGCACTTCAGCCTAATATATCACTAGTGGGCAGAAATAGGTGCCCTACTTACATTCTGAAAGCCCCATTTCAGGGGTTAGGAGCCACCTGTTTCCCTCCTTCAGTTACAGAGTGATATAACTTACATCTATCTAGAACTTGCAATGAACTGATATAAATCTTCTGATGGTGCCTGACCTGTCTTAGTTTACCCCTTTGCTATTAATAATTATTTTGCACTCTAAATTTCTTCTGATAAACCTTCTGCAAAATGGCAAATAGCCCTTTGTATAATCCATCCTCAAAGAAAACAAACATAAGAATTACCCCTGCTTTTACACCTGTGAGTAACTGGGCACATACAAGCTCAACAGAAAATTATTTCCCCATTATTTCCTCCAGGAAATCAGATGCCAAACCCTAAGCTGTTGCAGGAAATGTGGTTGTTCCTGGTATTGCTCATTAGGAGTCTGCAAGACACTGAATGTTCCTACTAACCTCACCTATATCAAGCTGGGCAAATGTTCACACAATTTGTGGCTGAAACAGCTGGCAATTAAAGCAGCTGTGCTCTTAGACGCTATTGGGAAATCAAAGATAAGATTACTCAGAAGACAAGTTTCCCTGAAATTGTCTCCAATGCCCAAGACCTCATAGTACTACTGCATGAAATAGATTGAATTGCGTTCAGACTAGCACATTCCTGATGGGGTGACTCAGGCAACCTAGTCTGGGATGATTCATTTTCATACATGCGGCCATATACACGGCCAAAGCCATGAACATATAGTTTGGTTAAATGGGAATATTCTACCTGGTTTCAGGTACAAAAGAAAGACAAGGACAAGTTCAGTATTTCAGTTTAAAAAACAAAAAAAGAGGTATCACTATTATCCTCTGGATGGGACTGAAACTGTTTCCCTCCCATAGACACTGTGCCACCAGCAACAATGGGATCAACCCTTAACTTCAGAAATTGGGAGCATGCAGTTAGCACCACCTCAGTCTTTACTCTAGCCACTCTGAAGCACAACCACCACGAGGGGTAGGTTATTTATGCAACAGAGGGAAGTTTTGCTAAAACTTAGCAAAGTTGACTGGAGTCAACTAAGTCCCACAGTCCTCAGTCAACTTCTTCCAGATTCAATGTCACATTAGAGAAAGACCTCACAGCTGTGTGCACATGTGAAAAGGTTTTTTGTAACACTTAGAATAGCCTGATAGAATATTTTGATTGGTTATTGCTGCAAACACCACAAAGCAAACCACTAGAATGAGAATAAGAAAAGTCTCCTACTGGACTACTTCCCTGACAAAGGAGATTTTTTTCAATTCCATGTTTGGTTTTTCTATTAACCAGATGCCTCACCATCATTGAATAATATGAACTAAGCCAGTGTATGGGTACTAGCAATAAACTATAAATCCCAGGAGCAGAGGCCCTGCAAGACTTTCTGAGCATTGCTTTCTGGAACCATGAAGCCAGGCAAAGCATTTTCTGTTCTTTAATCAGCAGTCAGTAATAAAGGCAATTCTTTTGCCCTGTTGGACTCAAAAAAAAATCCCACCTCAGAACAGATACAAAACTGTTCTTCTTCAGCTGGAGTGCAGAAGGCGAGGAAGTAGGGAAATATTAACTTTTCTGCAACATCTGCTAAAGTATCACCCATGTGTTTCACTTTTCTCGTTCCTGAGCACAGAAATACTTTGTTCATAACAATTTTCATGCAAGGAGATGACCTGAAAAGCACCGATGTGCAAATGAATTCGTCAGAATGATTGCTGCTGCTTTGAGGGGACTTGCAAGCTGTGACAGATAATACACATTGCTATAGCAACACTTACACAAATATATATTTTCAGAAAGATCCAATCCCCGAGGGACTCATTCAAGTCTTCATGAAAAGTTTCAGCTTGCCAGCAAGAGAGCAGACACAATCCCATGAGATGGAGGCAGCCAACACACCATGTATTGTATGAATTACTGGTCACTTGGGGCTGAAACAAGTGATGGGAAATAGTTTGTGAGAAATCCAACATTCAACTGAAACCCTCCAGAACTGAGGAAAACAAAAGTACTCATAAAAATACATCATCTTCCTATGACAAGGCACATCAGTTAGGAAATATGGAGTTAACTCTTTGCCCTAAAGAGTTAGATAATCTCTGCTAAGGTATGGAGACTTGATGCAACACACATCTATCATTGGCTGGCATGAAGTTGCTCCATTAAAAGCAAGTAAAAAGATTCACATGCACCCAAAGAAAAGTGGCAACCAAAACAGGGAGGAACATATTCTACATATTCCTGAAATAGTTTCCCTTCTTCTGTTTTAAGGATCCCCATGTATTAACTTATAATGGAAAACAATTATGCACACACTAATCATGTAATTTATTCATAGAGTCTGTTACTTCTGTATAAAATATGAATTACAGCATAAACTGCTGAGATTTCTTCTGGGGTGTCAGTTTTCTGATTTTCATTGAAACCATAAACACCAAATGTGATATGCCAAGCATGTGACATACTGAACCAAATGGGCAATATTTCTAACATGTAGGTTAAAATCACCTTATATTTACATTTACTCTGCACACAGATACTTGAGCTGAGTTGAATGTGAAATGATACATTTGGATTCAGTTTCCATTGATCTACTGATAATATTAACATGTCTTTTGAAAACATTCTGCTTAATTGCATCCAAAGTTCTTTTAGATTTTAAACTCAATGAGGTAAATGCCAGTCAGAAATGAAATGTGTAAAGTTGTAGTAGTAGTAGTAGTAGCAGTAGTAGTAGTAGTAGTAGTAGTAGATGAAATTTTGTCCCATCTTTAAGAAAACATTTAGCAGTTTCCCTCTGTCATATCTGTCCATAGTTACAGTCTTACATGTGATAGGCAGAAAGAAGGAAGGCAGGGGTGAAACACAACAGCAAAAAAAATCAAGAATCCAGTCCTGAGATTTATGCAATATAAAGAATTGTATTTTGCCTTTTCTTTTACAGTGCCTGTCATCATATTGATGAACCTCAGCCTAAAACAATGTCATTTTTTAAGACCAGCTTATGTGGGTAGCTATTCTAGCTACAAAGTTGTGTATTGGAGGACACAAAATTGGAGGAAGCTGTAGCCATGTGCCCAGTGTATTGTTGACACAAGGCAAGATGTCTTTGTTTACTAGACACTGATTAGATCTTTTTTCATGTTAAATGCCCTTTCCTAATTGGCACTGCTCACTGGCATGCTTCCATGCTGGAGCTAGCAACAGCCTTTAGTCAAAGGAATCAGAAACAGCCAGACACTTGCCCTGACTGGTGCCTGTGGATAATTCTGCTGACACTTCTGCCTGGAGAAAGCATGCAGCCACATATCTCTGACAAGAGTTTTCAGCATTAGCAAAATCTTATAAACTGCTAATAGTCAGACACTAAATCTTTCCAGAAGAAAGAAGAGAAGTGGACCTAGTGACAGCAGACACAGCTGTTTGCTGGCCATTGGGATCACCTTCCCTAGCCCTGCACCCAGCAGGGGTGCCCAGGCATCCTCTCCAGAGCTTGCCAGAGCAAGAATCCAGCAGGCAGATGGTGCTCTGAAACCCTGGATGAGCACCCACTCCTCCCTTCCAGTGGCTCTGCCATGGGACTGCATCTCCGGCAAAGAGCAGTAATATGGCAGAAGACAAGTGTTATTTCAAAGTGCTGAAGTCCTTTTCCAGTGAACACACGCTCATCTGTCATCATATGTAGGGTCACTGAAGGCAGCTGTCTGGAATCCTTTAACTTCCAGGTTATGAGCAAAACAAATCAGCTGATACCTGTTCTCTGAGTTAATCTGTCTATTGCAACCAACAAAATTGCTTCTGCTTGCATTTTACATTCTGTATGAGGAAAGAAAATTTCTCTGACATTTCTGGCAATGTTAAATAGCTCTGTACTCAGTAACCCACAATGTGCACAAGAAAAATGTGTATTTTAGAATAATCTCTACATTGTTCCTTCCCTATTGTTCATGCTTGTGCAAAGAGTCTAACAGGTTCTTGAGTTCCTGCAAAGCATGACACACTAATCCTCACAACTACCACTAACTAGCTGAGGAGGCTTTTCTGCCATAGCCACGCTTGTCTTTTAAAACATCACTCTCAAAATTATTGAATAAGAGCTGAGTATGGAGACAGATCATACACAGTCACTATTTGCTCTATGCCACCATGCAGAGAGTAGGGGTGTGCTGCCTGCCCAACTCTTTGACTCATGTTTTCAGGAAGCCACCACGAGCTGTTGCATGCAGAATAATTTCACATGATTCCTGAGGTATTAGGCAGTCAGCAGAAGTGGGAATGCAGAAATAAACCTGACTTTAAAATGACAAATTTCCCAGAATACATTTTAGATGGGGAAATGCCAGGCAAGTTCCTAGGTTAATATACTCTTGAACTGGGAGAGAGAAGCTGCATCTGTCTTGACTATACAGAGGGAAGACAGATTTTATCTCATTGATTTAAATAAAAAGTAAATAAGGAAGAGCAACTTTAGATGGTATTTATAGGTAGGGAAAAAAACATAATTGGCACAGTCCATAAGTTCAAAGTTTCAGTCATTAAAATTTTAATTACTATTGCCATGAGTAGTAAGAAAGATAACAGAACATGAAGCAATCATATTCAAGTGCACAAAAATCCTGTCTTTGCCTTTACTGGGAAAATGGCAGCACTGGGTTGGCCAGAAAAAGAAGTTTTGCAAATAGCATTGAACTGCTAAGGAGACAAGGCTAGATTCATCACAGAACCTAAAATGCTGGGAGAAATTATTCAAGACCATAGCAGGATCATCTCATTTGTTCCACAGGAAAGAGGATTCACTCAGTCACCTCTGAGACTTTCCATGAGGTGCATCAAGGGTAACTTTGGAGGGGATTCTAAGAGGCATGCAGATGGGGCAGCAGAAGAAGGGATCCCTGAGCAGTTCAACCCTTGATGATTACCCAGGGCACCAGGCCACTGCTGCAGCTCATACTGATATCAGCACTTCAAAAAGTAAAGCTGCATAAGGTACGGTCAGGCTGAGGAGAAGAAAGGCTCTGAAATGTGATCTGCTCCATCTGCTCTCCTCACCAGCCAGCAATTTAATCCCTCTGCAGATAACACCTCACAGGACAGAAAGAACAAAGCTGTCTCTACTCAGGCAGTGTGGCTCTATGCAACACCACACAGATCATTTTCCATATGGAAAATTTACTTTCAGCCCCAACTGAGATGACTATGTCCATTCTGCCTCCAGCCCATGCTCTCCAAATTGTCCCTATTTCGGTCTGCAGGAGAGTTAATTAGCATAGGGAAAATCAACTGAGTGTGTGAATAATTAAGGATGCCTGTCAGAGTTTATACTCTGGCCCTAATATTTTTAGTATGGTTGAGGCACCGAAATGAGTTTTATTTGGTTTGGGCACAGCTCTGTTCCCACTGAGCCAGCTGGAAGCATCACGTCCACAGCCACGGAGCGCGGCACCAGGAGCTGGTACACTGAGCAGGCTCCATGCCTGACTCCCTCCTGCTTCCTGCTCCAGGAGCTCAGGAGCAATGACGCTGACCCCACCTCAGCTAGTTTCCAGCACCCACGGGATAACACACAATAAATGGGAAGACCTCCTTGAATGATTTCACTCAGCAGCATCATGCAGAAATTCAAGCTGGTTTTTTGCAGAGCTGCCTTGGGAAGCCATGGTATCTGTATGACTCAGATATTTCGTCCCCACTTTCCCCTGGATAATTAGAGCTGACAGACATAACAGCAGTAAGGAAACATGCAAAAGCTTTGGCTACACACTATCATCTAGGAAAGCACAGATAATAGCAGGGAAAAAATTAATTTGCACTTTTAGCTTCCATTGCAGGACTTTTGTTTGGTACAATTTCTGTGTATTTCACATGAATATTAAATGATGTAGGGCCTTATCCTGAAGCTTTTACACATTCATTTATTTTGAGTTCCTGCTTATGCAGGAAGGTGTGTACCTGCAAGACTAAGGTCTAAGTGATCATTTCCATCTCCTTCTTTGTACATTATTGATCTCTCTGTACTTTTGCCTTATTTCCCCTGGCAAAGCCTTTCAAAGTCGAAGGAAATGAAACAATACTTCCCTCTACTGGAAGACCCCAGAATTCTGGAAATTAGTGTGAAGTGTTAAATTTTTCTGAGCTATTTTTGCTGGGTTGAGGGACAGGCCACAGGCAGAGGGCAAAGACAGAGAAGAGGCATAATTTTTTGTTTTGTTTTGTTTTGTTTTTCTTTTTTTTGTTCTTATCTCTGGATTAAAGCTTTGGGAAGTTCTTATATAACTCACTCTTTTTCTTGCAAGTTCTAGTCAACGTGCCAGGTTTATTTTAATTATCAACACACCTCTGAAAATCCTTGTGCCACTCAGGCAATATACTAAGAAGTTTTAAGTCCTGTTGTGCAATTTTCTGGATCTGTTACATAGTTGTTAGATTTTCTCAGGCTGCAATTGCATGGCCTATTCTAGGACTCCAGTGTCAGTTTTGGAAAAAAAAAAAATCAGTCACCATCAATGAACATCTTTGAAACTCCCTTTGGGGTTATGATTCAACGGCAAGCTGGGGGAAGTCTCCAGGGGACATGGAAAATTTCACTCGTGGTTTATAGATCTTCTTGAGAAGGCTGTTCCACAGGGCTGGAAAGGGTGATTCCCACTAGAGTCATGGGAGCCCTGAGATTTCCAGCTTTTTTTATAAATCAGGATCAAGTAAAGCAAGGTCAAGCACCAGCTGTCTCATTCCTGATTTCCAGGCATCATCTACTGGCAGCTGTCCATAAGCTTTTCTATAGATAGAGAGATTTCTACTGGTTGTGGAGGCCACAGGGAAATTTGATAATCGGGGAGATTTATACCAAGTAATTCCCAGATACCTCTGTTACTAGTTTTCTCTGTCAGGTTGTCTTCCAGCCTCTCTCAGGGTTCTGCACAATGCTTATGTT